GGTCAATGCATTGAGTATAGGAGTTGGGACATCATGTTGCGGTTGCATAGGACAGTGGTTAGGCCACTTTTGGAATAAAACTTGGAATTTTGGTGTCCCTGCAATCGGAAGGATGTTGTGAAACTTGAAAGTGTTCAGAAAAGATTTACAAGGATGTTGCCAGGGTTAGAGGGTTTGAACTATAAGGAGAGGTAGAATACGCTGGGGCTATTTTCCCTGGAGCATCGGAGGCTGAGGAGTGACCATATAGATGTCTATAAAATCATGAGGGGCATAGATAGGGTGAAAGGACAAGGTCTTTTCCCTGGGGTTGGCGAGTCTAAAACTAGAGGGCATAGGTTTAAGGTGAGAGGGGAAAGATTTAAAAGGGAACTAAGGGGCAACTTTTCCACGCAGAGAGTGATGTGTGTATGAGCTGCCAGAGGAAGTGGTGGAGGCTGGTACAATTACAACATATAAAAGGCATTTAGATGGGTACATGAATAGGAAGGGTTTATAGGGATATGGGTCAAATGCTGGCAAACGGGACTAGATTATTTTAAGATGTCTGGTCAGCTTGGACAAGTTGGACCAAAGGGTCCGTTTCCATGCTGTACAGCTCTGTCACTCTAAGTAAAAAGAATTTTCTCAGTGAAAACTCTGTGGACAAGGACCATTGAATGCCTTCCCAGGCTTTCCCTCCACCCACTACATCCAGTTGTTTTGTCTGTCTGGATCTATCTGTATGTAGGGGCTGTTTTATAAGGGGGATAGAGTTATAACAAGGAGATGGTTTATAATTGTTTTCTTGTTAGGTATAGAAACCTGGTCTGTGCATTCTATCAACCTGGGTCTGAAAAAACAGGTAATTTGGGTGATCTGTGTATGTTGATAAACTCTTGAACCTTTTTTGACATTCTCCAGAAGTAGTGGGGCTCAGTTCCTAGCACATTCCCTTAGCGAGGTGTAACACCAGCTTTCCCACATCTCAATGATTCCACATGATACGTGGTGTTCCGAAGATGGGTCCTTGGCTCATTGCTGATGCTTCATCCTTGACCCATTTCCTGGACAGTTTTCTTTGGTGGTGCCTTCCATTCTCAGGGTCAGGACAAGGAGGCAAGGCCCAAGACCACTGGAACAGGAATTGAATCTGCACTTTCAGCATGATTCTGAACCACACAATAGCCATCTCGCTGCTGAGCTAAATGGTCTCCAATTGTTACTGCAATATCAATATCCAAGATTCTGAGGTATATACTATATCTATACTGTGTGTAGATAATGCAAAATGTTTCGGCATAAAGTCTACGAGGTGGCAATGGATAGACCAAATATATTTTATGATTCTTAACCAAGCAATAGGCATTCAGTTGCTGAGCTAACTGGCCTCATCACCATATTTAACAAAGAAAACATTCAAATGTGTGTTGACTGATTTCAACAGTGTACATCTACAGTTTCCATCGCCTTCTTTAAATCAGGGATGAAACTTCATTGAAAACGATTCTGGGAAGGTTCACGTTGTGTTGTTTCTTGGAATGAAGTTGTAGTCTTTGTGGTTGGTTGGCTCGCCGAGCTGGTTCATTGTTCCACAGACGTTTCATTACCTTGCTGGCTATCATCATCAGAGCAGCCTCTGAGGTGTTGTCTTATGAGTAATGGTTGACCAGGTTGGGCTTATAGGAATTGGGATTTAGGAAAATGAGAGATGACCTTATTGAAAGGTATAACATTGTGATGGTGGATACTGGGAAGATGTTTCCCCTCTTGGGGGAGTCTAGAACGGGATGGGAGGGAGCGGGGGAACAGCTCCAGTGTGAGGGATCTTCCATTTGAGATGGAGAAGAGGAAGACGATTTTCTCTCAGAGGGTCAACAGACTTTGCAATGCTCTCCCTAAGACGGCAGCAGGGTGGGGTGAGTCTTTGAATTTATTCAAGACAGAATTAGACAGATTATTAATTTGCAAGGGAGTCAAGATTTTCTGAGAGAGAGAGGCAGGAAAGTGGAGATATACCAGAATCACATCAACCTGATGTGTACTGAATGGCAGAAGTGGCTCAAGAGGTCAAATGTCCATCCCCTGCAGCTATTTCTTCTGTTCTGATACATTCACAGACAATGATCTCAATCCCAACGCTCATGGACCAGACAGACACACCAGCATCCCAGTCTGAGGACATATCAATACAGCGGAATACAGTCAATATCTAACACACAACTACCTTCACACACAACAGCACTTAATTCAGATTAGTTCCAAACTCTTACACTGAGGCATCAAGAATTTAATGATTAGCCCATTTGTCAATCTTTTCCCCCAAACGCATGCAGCACTGTTTCATACTGAGTCAAGCCAGCCCCGAACATAGGTGTTTTGGACAGGCAGAATGAGGCAGGGCCCAGGGAATGGAGTTAACCACCTGACATTCCTCAATACAGTCTTCCACCTGAATGTAATCCTGCAGAGAAAGAGATCAGAACATTAATCACAAACAAAATTCAGACTCAATACAACTCATAACCAACTCCCTCTCTAACAAGTACACTCATTGGGATACAGTTCCTGAAGGAGCTGACTCGCACTGGGATACAGTTCCTGAAGGGCCTGACTCTCACTGGGATACAGTTCCTGAAGGGGCTGACTCTCACTGGGATACAGTTCCTGAAGGTGCTGACTCTCACTGGGATACAGTTCCTGAAGGGGCTGACTCTCACTGGGATACAGTTCCTGAGGGCGCTGACTCTCGCTGGGATACAGTTCCTGAAGGGGCTGACTCTCACTGGGATACAGTTCCTGAAGGGGCTGACCCTCACTGGGATACAGTTCCTGAAGGGGCTGACTCTCACTGGGATACAGTTCCTGAAGGGGCTGATTCTCACTGGGATACAGTTCCTGAAGGGGCTGACTCTGACTGAGATACAGTTCCCAAAGGTGCTGACTTGGGAATTTTGACAAATCTAATTACCAACTGTCTGAATATGGAACATGTGAAACTAATGACAGAGCTCCTGGCAATGTCCCTGACTCCGTCTTATGAACTGGGAGGTCAGAGGGACAACCAGCCTTTCTCTGTGTTTCGGTAAACATGGCGATTACTCACTGCATCATTCTCGACCAAATCCTCCAGGTACTTCATGATGTCATTGAACGTTGGCCGCTCGTCATGTCTCTCTGTCCAACAAAAATCCATCAACTCATAACTGAAAAAAACACCAAGAGTTCTTAGAAACAGGGACGCAGCAAGCTCACTACACAGTCCCCACTCCCAGGACAGGGACAGCACGGGTTAGATACAGAGTAAAGCTCCCTCTACACTGTCACCCCATCAAACACCCCCAGGACAGCGGCAGCACGAGGGTAGATACAGAGTAAAGCTCCCTCTACACTGTCCCCATCAAACACTCCCAGGACAGGGACAGCATGGGGTTACATACAGAGTAAAGCTCCCTCTACACTGTCCCCCCATCAAACACTCCCAAGACAGGGACAGCACGGGGTTAGATACAGAGTAAAGCTGCCTCCACACTGACTCTCCGACAGCCTTCCATCATTATCATCTGACCATGTTTTGAGGGTGGGAAGAGAATTTCAGAAAAAATACTCAGATGAACTTTGGCTTCTTACATCTCATCTCGACACTGTGAGGGCTTCTTCATTTTATATCCAGAGCAAACGTTCAGCACCACCTGCTCAGCAGTCTCAAACTCTGGGTACGGGGAACTACCTGGAGACCGAGAGACCGAGACAGTGTGAGAGAGAAGTAGGGAGAGAGAGTGATGGAGGGAGAGAGAAGGGGGCAGGGATGGGGAGAGGGGGGGAAGAGAGTGCGAGAGGGGGAGAGAGAGTGAGAGATGGGGGGAGAGAGCGTGGGTGGAAGGGAGAATAGGAATAGAGAGTGAGGGGGGAAGGTAGAGTGAGAGAGGGGTGGAGTGAGAGTGACAGTGAAAAGGAGGAGAGATACAGAGGGACAGAAAGTGAGAGACACATAGAGTGAGAAAGACAGATAGAAAGAGGAAGAGGGAGAGAGACAGAGTGACAGAAGATGAGAGGGAGAGAAACACAGAGAGAGAGAGAGAATCAGCGGAGTCATCAATGTCACACAGGGAGGTGTTGAAGTTGGGAAGAGGATGTCAAACACAGTCGGTATCCACATTGAGATAACAAGGTGTCGAGCTGGATGAACACAGCAGGCCAAGCAGCATCAGAGGAGCAGGAAGGCTGACGTTTCGGGCCTAGACCCTTCATCAGAAATGGGGGAGGGGAAGGGGGTTCTGAAATAAATAGGGAGAGAGGGGGAGGCGGATAGAAGATGGATAGAGGAGAGGATAGGTGGAGAGGAAACAGACAGGTC